TACAATAGCTTGTAGCCATTAATATTACTTTTTCTGACCTTTGAATTTCAGGAGAAGCTTCTTGGAAGCCAAAAATCAGACAAAGTTGTTTCACAACCCAACTTCTACACACATTTAGTGGAAGAATTAGAAGCTATAGGATGGGAGAAGTGAGTTATTTCCCTTCATTCTTACAGTTTTGACTGTACACAGAGGGAATATAATGTATTAATTTATTATTGCCACCAGTTAAGTGCAGGTTGTCATGCGCCAGACTGCCCTGCAGGAGGATGAGGGCTTGAGACCAACACTCAGGGTCATTTAATGATCAAGGAGATTGTTTTGTTGCCTTGGCTATGACAACTGCCAATAGCTAGATTTTCTAGTCTTGGATGTAAGGACCATAAATTGTAGGCCTCATCTTCAGTTCTGCGATTTCTCTGTACTAGTTAGCACACAAAGTGTTGGGAACCTAGCTCCTGGTTTTGGGGTCTGGCCTTGTTTCCAAAAATGAAAAAAAAATGGGGGCACCTGGAAAATTGACCTTCAAAGATTGTAAACTGGTTAATGCAGTCTGGTGAAAGTCCCCTACAAAGTGTTGTAAAGTACATTGGAACGTGTTGATCTGGAGAATGTGTTGTATCGTAAAGAGGATTACTGAATAGTGGTCGAACGGAAGTTAAACACAACTCAAATTTGAAAAAAACTAGTGTTAGTCCTAACTTACAGACTTTACTTGATATTTTTTATATTCTCCACTTTATCTTAGATTGGCTTATGTGGATTCATCTTTTCAAGTTTTAAAACTTGCTTCAAGGTAACTAAAATTATTTAAAACATCAAAAGTTTCACCAGCCCAGGCCATTTTTAATTGAAAAGAAGAACAAAATTCCTCAAGCCTTAACACCCAAACATTCTCAATACTGAGCACTCTTCTTATATTTCCTAATTGGTGCTTGACAAGAAGAATTTGTTTAAAGTCCCTATGACACCTATTTTTTTAGCATTAAAATAGGTGTCATAGAAGTATGTAGAGGGTGTCTGGTAAGATTTGTGGGTGATTCTGATGCGTCTTTGTTATTTTACGACGCTATAAATGTCCGAAATTGTATCGAACTTAGGCTCCCAGTATCTCTTTGGCCGCATTAAAGAGTACTGGAACCCGTGACGTAACGGTAGTTACACCAAGTTTAGCAAAGAAGCAAAGTGAGTGTAGAAGCTACTGTTTAGAATCTTTTTAGCCAAAAAAATGCCATTTCGATGTGTAGTTTGGAGTTTTTCTAATACCCCTGACTTGATGAAGAATATTTCTCTCCACAAGATTCCTACTGTGACATCATGGTGCCCAGTCCCTCTTTGCTCGGCCAGACATTTTATATGCAGATTATAGAGCTTGATAAAAAATTCAGAAAAGCCGGCAAAATACCACAAATGTTGCAAAAACAAGTTTAAGAGTCATTATATTTTGATGTAGAATAGAAAAAAAAAGTTTAGGCACTTTAACAGTCAAGAGCTGCTTTAGTTGGTGATCATTTCCTCTATTCTCCTGACCTCAATGTGTAATTCAGGGGGGGGCAGTGTAAGGAGAAATTAGATGCTAATCACTCTTAGGGTCAACAGGTTAATTGAATTATTTCCTCTCAACACTTGTTATCCTTTTTCTTCTTTTCACAGAGATAACAAAGAAAGAGAGCATGTGATTACTGTTCATCTTTCATCACAGGTATTATCATTTAGCCAACAGGTCTCAGTTGCTCAAAGCAAGTATAACTTCTTGTCTGCTGGATAAATTGCTATCCAGCAGGGAAATTTTATCCACGGCATTAAATCGATTGTTCACGGGATGGAGAGAGCTATCCACTCACTCTTTAGTGGAGAAATTTTATTCATCCTTTAGTCAACCAGGTCCAGACATTTAAGAGAGTTTATTTCTTTTCACCCTTCCTATGTGACAATGCATCTTCAGAAACTGGCAGCACCCAGATAATGAAAACCAATCAGACAGCTAAACTGAAACAATACTTTCCCACATTTTCGGTTTTCATTGATGAACAGTGGGGTACAAAACAATGGGATTTCCATTGATCCATTGATTGGCATTGTATGCACCATAAACAAATGAGGGGGTAAGTTTCTAAAGAAACTGTGGGGCTACATTGATGAGTATGACAAGATCAATTTGTTTTTATCAACTGAGTTCTTAAATGTAAGTTGGTCACTGTAAAGAGTGGCTTACACTTGAAACGTCAGCTTTAGAAACTCTTGACAATGGCTAACTCAGTTGATAAAAACAGTAAACCATTATTTAGTCTCAAGTACCTTTGCATGTTTGCCTGTTTTTAGAGTTGCCATGGTTATGTCCCCTCCTTTGCCTCCTGGCTCATCTGCTGTTAAAGAAAAAAAAAAAATATATATATATATATATATATATATCTTATTACACGACTCGGGCAGTCAGAGGGCCAATAAATAAAATCAACCAATCAAAATGCCCTATTGCCGGTCAATATTCTCTCAGTATTGGACCGGACACTATCCCGAATGGTCCCGAATGATACCGCACTTGTGTCCCTTTGAACTTCAGTCGTGTAATAAATCTCTTATTAACCAAGCTTGCTCGGGACTGTACTGGAAGAATATCGGCCCTATGTCTTTTTTGTACAGACCAAGCGCAGCTCGGTCCGTACTGTCAAGACATTGGGCCGATATTCTCCCAGTACGGCTCTTGTGCTTGGTTAATAAGATATATGTATGAACCAACTCTCTATCAATATATTGACCAATTGTTTTGTTCAGACTACTAAATAACTTCAACTTTCGATGACGGTTTAAATCACCACTTTTAATCCAACGAAAAGACTGCTAACTTCAAGCAAAAGCACATGTTCCTATATCCCATAATACTAATGCAACAAAAATGTCCTTAGTAGGGTGGTCCCATCACAAGTCCAGTCTCACTTGGGGGCGTGATATCCTCCCACTGCGGGTCCGGGCCTGAACACCAATATACTGGTGAAGAGTACCTTCAGTTAACATACTCTGAGTTCTCTATCAAGCTTTGAACCATGAAAAGCAAAGGTCTCAGGTTTGATTCCTGCTTGGGACACATGTTTCTTTGCTGCACACTTGTGACCTTGATTTCATTTTTTTCACTGTTTCCCCCAATTTTTTTCTTGATCTGAACACAGTATTATCCTTGGAGCTGCATCCCTTGGACTTGTTGTGACATATCCTTTGATGAAAAGAATCACTTACTGGCCACAGGCCTTCCTTGGTATGCTGATTTATTGTTCTTCTTAATGTACTGTAACAACAAAAAAAAAATAGTTCAAATTAGGAACTGAAAGAGAACAAGTTTTTTTAATGTCTTTCATTAAAGGATGTCCCACCCGGCTCATCTCATAGTTGAGAGTCACCTATACCCGTTTGGAAAACTCAGTCACGCAAAAATAGCAACCGCCTCCCAGTTAGCTCAATGGATAGAGCACTGGACTGTTGTGCGGGAGGTCGAGGGTTCGAGCCCCGGCCGGACCAACACTCAAGGTCTTAATAAAAATAATTGAGAAGAATATGCTTCCTTTCTATAACATCAAGAAATGGGTAGATATTCT